TGCAAAAGCGAATTTATATGCAAGATTGATATAGGGTAACAAAAATTGTGCCAGAACTCCCATTTTGTCTCTACTACCCATAATATTTCTGATTAAAATTTTTACTGATTATGTTATGGCTGTGGAAAATTTTTGATATTTTCATGGCATTACGTAATCATAAAAATATCATCAGGAATGTTCATGGGAGAATATTAGAGGCCGTGAAATATATTATAATATACTAGTAATCATAAATAATACAATATGTGATAATTTATATAATAAAACATAAAATTTTTATTCTATAATAAAAATTTTTAAACTCAGAGTTTATTACTTATTGAAAAGATTTAGTACTGTGTAGGCTTGGGTATATAGTTGATTTAAGTAAAAGAAAACTTATATTCTTTTAGTAATTCCAAATTTTTTTTTTTCTCTTTTGTATTTTGCCAACTTTACCAAAATTTTCAATAAAAAAGTAGATGATTAAGATTAGCATTGTTTACACTTTCTATTTTTAAACAAATGAAGTAAAATATAAATATAGAATTGTTTTGGCAATAATAACCTACACTATATGATGAACCAATCAGTACTCTAGTTAATGAACTAACCTGATTGAATATGATAATTGAAAGAAATTTTAATGATAAGGCTTAGCTTTACAACAAAGATATAAATTTAAAATTTAGATTTAATTAGGTATATAATTTTTACAACTATGCCTAATACGTGCTATAATAGTGCTTTTATAGATAGATTTTTTTTCTGCCTTTTTCTTCTTTTATTTGTTTTTTTTCATTTTCTTGTTGCCTAGACAGTTTTTTTCTTTATCTTTTTTTTTTAATATTAGTTTTTTTTTATAAATTAGTTGAAAACTATGAATCCTTCTGCTCAGGAAGCTAAGAGAAAAAGATTAGAAAAGGAGGCAATTCTGATAGACCATAAATACTATTTAGTGATGTATCGAAAAATTCAGTTGCAGGGTTTTTAATATGAAGATAAATTTTACTATAGCAGATTAAACATGAGTAATGTTACAAAGAGCCAGATTAGTGAATACTTGTAAATTAGGTAGACTTTAGATAACTTGAGTCAAAAGTGCAATTTTATTTGTAAGTTCAAATGTTTATATCTAATAAAGTATTCGAATTAACAAAAAAATAAAAATAAAAATTTTTAAAAAATTTTAAAAATAAATTTTTTATACAGTATCAGAATAAATTTCATCAATTGTAGTCCTAAAAAATATTTTTTCAGATTTTTTAAAAATTTTTATGGCAAAGTTATTCAAAGGTCGAAACTATAGCAAAAAAAATTTTATAAGTAATACTTATAAAAATTTTTTACTACCTTTGAACAACTGTTATAAAAATTTTTAAAAAATCTAAAAAAAATATGTGAAAATTTCAATAGTTACTATGTATAAAACTTATCACATGTTGCACTACTTATGATTACCAGTGTATACTGTATAGTGTTATAGTTTGTTTGTGCGTTGGAACTGTGTGAGGATGACGTAATAGTATTTTATAAATCTTTGAAATGTATAAAAGTCTCAATAATCCTTGTTAATAAGGTGAGAAGTGTTTCAAGAGCTTCCGATCAAATAATAACGATAGAGATCATTAATTTTATTAATTTTTCACTATCGTTGACAATCGAGTTTCTCTGATTATATGAGAGACGCTATCTAATTGAAACATGGTTACAACTGGAGCTAAACTGCACATTAGCTTTGGTTGCTCTCTCAAGCAGTTGTAATAGTAAATGGGTTTATGATTTTCACTTAATTCCTACCAACGCTAAACTAAATTGGGCCAACCCTAAATCTATATCTGGCCAACCTTAGTTGTTGGGAAAATGGGTGCTGCCATTTAAAATTGATCCTTTATCTTGAAAATAATGCACATTGGCGCATTCGAAATAATCGAAATAACGTGTAGATGCCATTATTTCGAGAATTATGAAACAATTTCTAAATGGGTTGGTAATAATCACGTGAACATAGTGGACCTGCTTTCTACGTGAAAGATTTTTTTTTAACGTTAAAAATAACGTTAAGGTTTAATAAATATAAAGTTTTTGATTTTTACTAATGATCTATTAACTGTGTTATATAAAGTGCAAATATTCTATTACATACGTACGTACGTACGTACGCATCATGCTGGCAATCTGCTTTTTTATAGTACGTACTTTCTTTGATTTTCGCCGAAAATCCGGGGTATATGCGATGCTTGGATGCAGTGTTCAATGCGTACTTATTCTCGATCTTATGATAATCTTGATTTAGCCTAAATGTATCGGTATTGCCACGTAGAAGAATTTTACCAAGTTCGGAATAAGTTATCACTATTTAAAAGACTTCTTGTAAATGCTAAAGATTACATTGATTTATTTATGAAAGTTTTTTTTTTTCTTTTATAAGGTTGTTCCAATAGAAATACAAAATTTTCCCGACTTCCAATTCACCTAATAAAATGAATAAACTACATGCTAACTATGAAATTAAATAATGAAAACTACAAATGATAAATACTAGCCAAACAAATGTTAAATGAGTAAAATTACAATTATATATATATACTTTCCTCAAAAAAAAGAAAAGAAAAACAAAACAAACCCAAAAAATTAGTTACATGAATTTGGGAAAATACTTCTCAATACTAAACACACTAATCCAAAAAAGAAAGCTCGAGTATAAATATATAAATATTATTTGACCAGCAACAATATTATGCATCGATATCGGTCATATTCTTTCAACAGTGTGTTATTTAAAAGCTGTTTTCATTAACCTTTGAATATTTCAAATCCCTTTTTTTTTTCTTTTTTTTTTTTTGCATTTATTTTCATCTAATTTTAGCCTTTTTTTTTTTTATAGGTTCGATCTTATCCACTTTTCCAATCTAAACAATATGATTTCTTGTTTTCAATACATATAGGTACGTTTCATTCAGGTGTGCATAAGATTTATTTACCGATATTTCGTAACTCGGCCATAATTCTAGATTCTTCATTAGACCACCATTGTTCTATCCGGTTTGTTTTATTAAATACTTCGGATCCTTCGAGGCTTAACTCATTTAGTCTTGGACTTTCGCTTGCTTTACTGGAAGAAACATCTGAAACAAAGCAAAACACAAAACGAACAAATCTTTTAGTCTGATTTTACGCAAGTTGAATAAAGATATCTTATGCGCATGATATAAATTGTCACCTGAGTCATATATTCGTGAATTTGAACTACAAACTTTTTTAATTCTTCGTCCAATCGTTGAAAAATATTCGCTGAGACGCATTTTTATTCACACGTAATATAGTTAATATAGTTTGGTTGTTCAGCAAATATTAAAAACGATAACAGTGAGGTGTATTTATATTTCAAAAAAAAAAAAAGGAAGGGAGAATAAATCTCAAAAATAAAGCAGCGAATTGGATAGAACCGAGCTGCAATGCATGGTAGAGGTGCGTAATAATATTAATAGTCAACAGCTTGTGGACATTAAATTTGCTAGTACAGATGACATTGTCCCAAATAAAGTTAGTGCCAGGTCAACCGTTTCGGCAATGTTACAATGTAAGTTAATGTAAGCTAATACTATAGCACGTATGGCAAAGCCTATTTTAATTCAAAAGGTTATCTTAATCGGCTTTGTAGAAGAAAGGAGTGCATTCTGTACTTGTGTGTATGTAGTACTTGGGTAGTTTCATTTTCTAAAACCTTCTAAACTGTTCGAAAAATATTACCGTTACATTTTTGATTTAATGTAACTACAAATGTAACTACAATATTTTTAATCATTATTACTTTATAAGAAGTACTGTACTTTTTTTTTATGTAAAAATTTGGCAAAAAAAAAAATTTCCGAGACGTGACCGGATTAGGGTTTATTGAGCGCATCGTTTTCACGTTAGTAGTCTCTATATATGCAACAATCGACATCGATCAATCATGTTCTAACACCTGAAGTCGCTATATACGTAATGAATATGAATGGCAACGAAGGATTCGAGGTATAGTCATATAATTGATTCACGTACTATATAATATTTGATGTTTCACTTTTAATAAACCAATTTTCGTAATTGGTGCAATATTGGTGAAACGATTACAATCGTTTACACAAATTTAATACGTAAAAACTGAATAGTATGCATGGAATAATAGTTTTCTTAATATTGTGTTATACATATTGATAATACCTTATCTCATGTGACTACGTACTATGCAGTGTTATTATTATAGTTTTTATTACTCAAAATTGCTGCACAAAGATTATAAACGATAACATAATATTTAATCTTGTACACCAAAATTTTAAAAAATTGACAAGCAACTTTATATTTTGATTCAAACCACTCGCTCCTTTTACAGTGAAGTGAACTCAAGCAATGAATTCGATAAATCTGATTGGCCAGTTAATCAGACAAACCAATCAGATTCTTTGTTGTTCATAAATATTACCCTGAGTCTATTAGTAAAATTTATTTTCGATTTAAGAAACTTTCATTCAAGAAGATTTGTTTATATATAAGAAAATTTTGGCTGGTTCTGATTTAAATATAATAAAATTTCACTTGATTAAAGAGTAGTGGAGCATGTACGCACATACGCACGTACATACGTATGTACGTACGTACGGACACTGTCTACTGCAAATTCATGTCGTCATAAACACCTTATTTCACCGCCAATTAATTCACAGACAAGTTTATTTTACAGACAATCAGTTCGCAAATTTGTTTTGTAGGTAATTTATTTCACCTTCAACTCATTTCACTGAAAGGCTTTTTCTTATAAATTGCGCTAACCTTAACCTCATTTCTAAACTAATCTTAATAACAGTGACTATAATTACGATGTCGTGAAATGAGCTGTCGGTGAAATAAATTGTCTATGAAATGAGCTGTCGGTAAAATAAATGTCTGTGAAATAAACTTGTCTATGAATTAATTGTTTATAAAATAAGCTTTTCTATGAACTAATTGTCGGTGAATTAAGGTTTCTGCGAAGTGATTTTCTACCACCGGTATATATAGGGTATAAAATCAATGTATAAAGAATTTCTACCATACATATTTTATTAACTATACGTAGAGATTTCTTTATGCTAAAGATTACTATACTTAACCTAACACGAAAAAAGGGCAACATTAGCACTCGCCTTAATTCAAACTATTAAAAGAGATCATTTATAAAAAATGATTATATATTTTGTTTTTCAGTTTTCAGGCGAGGTCTGGCCTCTAACTTATTATTTCAGTAAATTCGAATACATCTGTATTATTATAGGATCGTACTTGTTACTTACTTTTTTCAAGTATTGAAACTGGATAGTGATTTATATTATATATCGATATGTCTAAAATCTATTTTGGTTAACTTAGACCGCTTAGGAGTTTCTGGTACGTACAAGGTCATAGAAAGACATTTATATGATTGGTTAATTTTTGTAGATCTATCCTGATTTTCCGTGATAATTAACTAACCAAATACAAACTTCGTTTACAAACCATATGAAAAAAACGAGTATTGCTAATTTGCCCCCGGTTATATAACCAGCCCCTTTATGCTATCTTAAAAACTAGACTAAATAACTATATTTGATGCATTAAGTAAAAATGTTCAACGTTTTAAAAAACTCTATACTAGCTTTAATTCTAAATCTAAACCTAATCTTTATACTAATTTTAATTTTAAATTTTAAAGCAAAAATTTATAATAAAAATTAATAATGATAGTAAATTATAGATGGTTAAAATTTATAATTTTAACTATGAGGCAAGTTAGACAAAAACATTGTTTTAATTGCTTGGCCTATTTTTATTGACCACTTTAAGAAAAAAGAAACTTTTTTAACCTACATAGTATAATATGATTATATTGTATACTGTATATTGCAAATTTTTTATAAAGTTAACTTTCTCTAAGTGCAGCTCACTGAGATCTATAAAATTTTTTTAAGTAAAAAAAAAATACTGTATTTAGAAAAAACTTGCACTTAGAAAACATAAGTTTATTATAACTTTATATAGCTTGAAACCAAAAAAAACCTGCATTTAGAAAAAATTTAATATAACCTGCACTTAGAAAACATGCACTTAGAGAAAGTTAACTATATATTTTTTTAACTTTAGCAACTCTGTTTTTATTATACAGATAAAATATAAATAAAGAAATACTATTACTAATATTCTCTCTCTATTCAAAAGATTTATTCAATATCATAGTACCCAAATATGATCTGCTGTATTAACTATTTAACTCCCTCTTGATGTTATTTTTTAAATTAAAAACTTCACAAGTTCACTATTTAGCTGTTAATCACTTGTCAAGATTGCTAATTTTTTTTTTAAATTTTTTTTCTTCAAGAGGTAGTAAAAAAAAAAGAGAGAAAATATAAAAACTAATATAAAAAGAAATCAAAAATAAAAACAAAAAACAAAAAAAGAAAAACAAAGTAAAAAAAGACAGCACTATTATGGTCTGTGCAAGGTTTAAAAAATTATATATTATTTTTAAATCTATTTCTACTCTAAACTTAGTATATAGTATATATATTATTAATGCCTAAAAGAGTAAAATTCTAGCTGAGATTTTTAGTACTAATGCCAACTAATTGATATTTGTTTTCTTCTTATAGTTTAATTTGGCACAGCCATATAGAAGCCACATATGACTATTTAATTCTAATTTCTAATTTATTAGTAATACACAATGCCAATTATTTGGAAGAGATACACTAAATTTTTTACTTTTTGGTGAAAATTTTCAAAAAAAGTTCAAAATATAGTAGAAGTAATATCAAGAGAGTGGTAGAAACATATTGTATATTTACAAAATTTTCAAGAAGTGTAGAAAAAAAAACTATTTGTTGTTTCTTTATATTTTTATTAGAAAACTGCCTAAAAAGCTTTGTTGACAAAAAAACTCTTGTTTTTCTATTAGAATTTTTTATACAAATATACCATCTCTTGCCAGTTATCTTGTATAACAATGCTTTTGGCTTGCATATCGAATATACAAAGAAGTCTTCCATAGCAAAAGGTTAATCTCTATAAAAACCATTACTTTAGAGCCTACTATTATATTTTCAACAAATATATTGTTTTTTGTTAGTAGAAAAATTTGATACAAGAGATCAACAGAAAGAGTGAAAACTGGAATTGACTATATATTATTTATAACTGCAAGTATAAAATTATATATATATACTATAATTTTATTATTATATATATATTATTTTTTTTTAATCTTTGATAGTCTCAAAGATACTTTATTAAGAATATTAGTATATATAAAGTAAATAATAAATCTATTAGCAAATAGTATATAAAAACTATTTCTAAATAACAGAAACTGTATATACTGTAGTGTATTAACCAAAGTATCTAGAGTTCAATACAATTTAATTAAAAAAACTTATAAAGTACCTGTGGATATTTTGATCAGTGACTAGTGCTCGGCAAAATTGAATAAAACTCGAAAATCGAGTTTTTGATTTCTATCGATTTTAAAGTAGTGGTTTTTAAAATCTTATTGAATAAAATCTATTTTTGGTAATGATCTGACTTTAAAAATCAAGTATCACTATTTATTATACTTATATACTCAATTTAAATTTAAAAATATTTTATTTATAGATTTTATTTTTTATTGCACCCTAGCCATATCTCAAAATTTTACTATGGTAACCCTGTCATATGACTAACAAAAAATGATTGTTACACAATTTTACCTAACCCTAACCCTAAACCCTAACCCTAACCTTTAAACTTTAACCCTAACTAATCGTAACTTTACCTAAAATTTGCTATATCTCAAAATTTTACTAGGGTAACCCTGTCGTGTAACTAAGTAAAAATACTCCTCTCGCAATTTTACTTAACCCTAACTTTAAACCTAACTCTAATACTAACCTTAACACTAACCCTAATACTAACTCTAACACTAACCCTAATTTTTTTAGGGGTGCAATGTATTGCACCTGCAAAAAATTAAAAAATTCTTTATTTATTAATAATATTAATAATATTTTTTAAATTTATTTTTTTTATACAGTAATACTTGCTCTCGGATGCTTATTAGAGATGCGTATTCTAAAACCGCCACTGGAGTCGTTGCTTCTGGTGCTAATGGAAACCTGCTAAAGACAACATTTCGAATAGTAGACATTAATTAATATAGCATAAGCACAGTTAAGGGTAAATAAAGGCATTTCAAGATGACAATTTGAATGGGCACTTACTTTTAAACTCTACCAAAACCAATATACTATAGGCACATTCAATAATAAAA